TTGGCATGACCTCTGTTCTTCAGGGGGACTCAAACTTGCCTGATTCCAGAGACACCAGGATAGGGGATGGGCAGGCCCATTCTGCAGTGAGGAACCTGTATCTGGCTGGATCTGTCTGGAAGAATTCAGCTCACTGTGAGTGGCAGGGAGGGTGGGGCATAGATATCTGCCTGGTTTGGGGACTTATTTATGCCTACTGTATCATAGGGAGTCACTGGCCAGAAACTGTCAGTCCAGTGTCCCTACCCCTGATAGGGAGCTGTTGCTGTCATGAGGCCCTGACATTCAGTGCTATCCCAGAACCTCCACCTCTTTATTGTAGGCTATAGAACCTCCTCGGGCAATTGCCGCTGTTTTCCATCCAGCCCATCCAGCTTCTCCTCTTCTTACCAGGATTTGGCCAAACACATGGTAGATACTTCCATGGCTGATGTGAGTATTTGCTCCCACTCTTCCCCATCACTGCTTTAGCCAGACCTCTGCTGGGTGGGGAGGAAGAGGAAAAGAGCTGGGCAAATGAGGGCCACCAAGGCTTGTAGACTTCTTTAGTGGTTTTCCATCTTGAAAAATGTATATTTATTAAACACTGATCAGAAAGTTGAACCTAGAGGCTGGGATATACTGTGCCTACTAATTTGGTTATGGCCGCTCTGTCCCCAGGTAATGGCTGCTTGTTCCAATAATCTACACAATCTCTTCAGCCGCCAGGCAACAGCTGGCTGGAAGTAAGTTTCTTTGCAGTGTTCTTGATCCTAACCCTGTTGTCCTGCTTGGCTTCTCTTCTCCTTCCCCTTCTCCACCCTGCCTTCCTGGAATCTCTTAACCTGATTTCCTCCTTTGTATCTTAGGAACCCTCTTAAAAAAAAAACAAAAAAAAACCTCTTAATTCTTCCTCTTTCCAATCCTTGGTGTCCCTTAGCTATCAGGGTGAAGAGCAGGAGGTGCACCTTTACTATAAGGAGTTTTCTTCTACTCGGCATGGCTTCCTAGGGGCAGGTGTGGTGTCCCAGCCACTATCTCATGTATGGGCAGCTGTGAGTGACCCTACCCTGTGGCCCCTGTATCATAAGCCCATTCAGACAGCAAGGCTACATCAGCGGGTGAACAAGAGCATCAGCCTAGGTGAGTCCAAGGGAGGGAGGCTCCCATGGGGCCTGGTTTCTGGTGTGTCCCATGATCTCTGGCCAGGGGACAGAGGCAGAGGGTTGGAGGCAGCCTTGTTGAGAGACCAGATACTCAGCCTACTTCCAGATTGTTTATTCAAGATTTCATTGGATGTCAAGTCATAGGATGAAGGGGAGGTTCCTAGGCTAAAGAAGACTTGGGACTAGATCTGTCAATGGGCCTCCTGACTCTGCTTTACCTCCACCCCTCCAGTGTACTTGGTGTGCGATACCACCGTGTGTGCACTGAAGCAACCACGGGATTTCTGTTGTGTCTGTGTGGAAGCCAAAGAGGTGCCTGCCTTGCTGGTGGTAATCTATGGGAATTGGTTTCTCTGGTGGGGATGAGGGCAAATTGCGGCTGGGTCTAGGACATGGGTGGCTTCAAGGCAAGCCCAGTGTTGACTTCTACTATACTAATTACACTTGAGCCTGTTCCTGTTTTTTCCTCATTACATAACATCTCTGTCTGCAGGGGCACCTGTCTATCATGGCAGTTCAGTCTGTATATGACACATCCATGCCAAGACCCAACAGAAAAATGGTCCGAGGGGAGATACTGCCCAGTGCCTGGATCCTGCAGCCTGTCACCATGGAAGGGAAAGAAATTACCAGAGTCATTTACTTGGCCCAGGTGATATAGAGCTAGTAGCCAGTCTTGTAACATACTTGGGACCTCTCTGTCTAGCTGTGTTCTAAAAATATGTGGCCAGGAACTTCTTGGGTTCAAAGTAAAGGAGTCAGTGGAGAATCAGAGAGGAAGGAATGAGTGTTATCAGCTGAAGTTGCTAGTACCAGAGATCTAGTAGTAACCTACATCTTGTGGTTGTCCCCAGGGTCCTTAGAAGACATATCATTGCAAGGTAAAAGCAGCAGCCTCAGCAGAGCAAAATCATTGTTCATAGATAGAGTTCAAATCCAAATGGGAGTGGAACTGAACCAATCAGTGGGAGGTGAAGAGCAGAGCCCAGGGGTCTTAGACACCAAGCCAGTGGAGTCTGGGGTGAATCTCCCATCACCTCATCCCAGGTGCTTGGGGCTAGAGTGGCCCTGGCACCTCCAGCTGTTTGTACCTTCATCTCTTCCCTTTCTGCTTTCAGGTAGAACTGGGTGCACCAGGCTTCCCGCCTCATCTCCTGAGCTCCTTCATTAAGCAGCAACCACTGGTTGTGGCCAGGCTAGCTTCCTTCCTTGGTAGTTAGCACCACACCAGTGAGATGGTGCTGCTGAGATGCAGGCCCAGGATGCTCCAGAAATGCTGTGGCTGCTCCTCCTTAACTGTTAGCAACCTGAGATGAGAAGAAGCAGAGGCTACCTGTAGTGGCAGACTACACAGATAGCACTAGCCCAGGGTTGCCAGGAAAGCCCTGTCAGTACTCAAGTCACCTCTACAGAACAAGAAGCCTGAGCTCCTGGCCCTCGCTGTCCAGAGAGAATGAAGCTCAACTCACCTTTTGGATTTCTCACCTTTATTTCTCATTTCTGGGACTATGACACAGGCCTCTCAAGGACCAGAGTTGGGCATAATCAGCAGAGCTGGGGAACTGCAGTGCTTTGGCAAGATGCCTTCTTAGTTCAGCCCAGCCCTCAGGCTGATGGGAAGGCAAGCAGCCACTGGCCAAGACTCCACTCTGGAGCTGCTTCCAGTGTTCAGCTCCACCGTGTAGAATATCACAAAGGACCAGAACAGAAAAAAGGCTTAAAAAATCAGCTGCACAAATCAGAACACAGACTCAGAATCTTTTCTCCAAATACTATTCATTTTTGCTTTTTCCCCCCCTCCCTTTCCTAGGAGAGGATATTTGGGTCTTTGCAGCAGTCAGGAGTGTTAAGCACTGCTGCTTCAGAGCACTTCAGGGCTCAGGAAGATGGGAGAGCAGCGTAGACACAGGCTGGACAGATTTCAGGTTGGGATGTGGGCCTTGGCCCTTTGAGGACTGGTGGTGGGTGGGGGTAGCCAGATGATTGCTACTGACAAGGCAAGAGGGATTTCAATGAGATTAAAAAATGACCTCTGAAGAAGGATAAATGAACTGGAAGAGAAGGTAAGCGGTTTGTCAGGAGGAAACTTGATTGCAGACCTTACCTTCCCTTACCCGGAGGTGAGTCCCTTGAGCTACTGCTCTGGCCCTACCAATTCTAGGATGGATGAAGGGTGGATTCAGTTTTCTTGTAACTTAGCCTGGCTGAATTTGAGCTCTGAAGATTCTGTATGTTTACCTAGAGGTGACAGGGATGGGAGAAATTCCCATTTAATTTTCTTGCCCCAAATCTTTGGTAAAAGAGGATAATTGTATGGGGATTGGGATGTGGTTAAAAGGGTAAATTTCTGTATAGTGCAGCAAAGAGTTGCTTTTCTGAAAATGTTTGTAGGGTTTCCTTTTTCTCTTACCTCAGATTAAGTTATATTGTTTTTATAATATGCTTTTAAGCTTATTTTTCAGTGATTTTTTTTAACAGCTTATATATGTAGGACCCTAATTTATGTATTCTTCCCCTCTTCCTAAAATTGTTGACCAAAAAAAAGGTCAGAACATTTGTAAATTAAAAGTCCCACGTGAGGGCGCTGGGGTTGTGGCTCAGCAATAGAGCACGCACCTAGCACATGAAGGGTGCTGGGTTCAACTCAGCACCACATAAAAATCAAATAAAGGTATTGTGTCCAACTACAACAAAATATTTTAAAAATTTTAAAAAAAAGTCCCATGCGGAGCCAGGAACCAGTAACACACCTATAATCCCAGCAGTTTGGGAGGCTGAGGCAGAAGGATTACAACGCCAGCCTCAGCAACTTAGTGAGACCATCTTTAAAAATAAAAATAAATCCCATGTGGGAGGCATGGTTCAGTGGTATGCTCTGTGCCTAGTGTGGATGAAGTGTCCTGAGTTTGATCTCCAGTACCAAAAATCAAAATCACTTTTTCAAATTCCCAAGCATTCAGAATAGACTTCCCATGGCTTGGGAGGCTAAGGCAAGGCTCTAAAGCAACTTAGTGAGATCCTGTCTCAAAAAAGGGCTGGGGATGCGGCTCAGTGGTTAAGTGACCTTGGGTTTAATCCCTGGTACTGATCTAAAAAAAAATAAATAAATAAATATTGGATTTATAGGATCAAAAAAGAGATTAGGAAAGAAGGTTCAGATAAAGAAACTTTAAAGTAGTGAATGGGATAAGCCTGATGGGGAGGGAAAGGCATGGACTGATAAACAATATTGGGGAGAAGTAGGACTGAGAAACACTCCTATTTTTCAATGTTGATTTGTACATGGGGCTCCCTCTAGCCCAGAGAATCTTACCCTTTCTTGGGTTTGAGACCATTCTGATAGCTACAAATTTTTCCCCTAAGAAACGTTGGAAAGCCACTTAGCAAGAGCTAAATCCCCTCTCCTTCCCCCAGCAGAGCCTGGGTGTTACTTCCCAGGAATTAACTTAATGCATATTATCAAAGTTTATAATTATCAAGACCACATCTCTTATAAAATGAACTTTTATAATTATAAACTTTTATAATTATAAAAGTTTATAATTATATTAGGCTGCTCGTGCTCTGAGACATTCTGAGCCAAATCAGACACTATAGCCCTAACAAAACAACATCGCAAAAGCTGCCTCACCATGTGGTGCAACGGAACATCTTGTGAATGGAACCTGCACAATGCCCTAAATGTCTAAACTTTCCTCCCATAATTGAGAGGGAGTTGCACAGGAGATGATTACAGCATTTCAGGGGTGTGAGATGATCTTGCTGCTTGAATATGCAGGTGTTACTTAGAGGTCATAACTCCCAACTCAAGGCCCACCTGCCAAAGGGGAAAAACAGGCAAGAACAGTCATCAAACCTTTGTTAAAACAGTTTATTCTTTTTTGCTTCCCTGTGCATGTCCCCGAACAGACCAAGTCTGAAGTGTCACTACCTGCACAGGGGTGAAGTCCAGGGTGATGCCAGGTTTCAGTTGGGCAAGTCCTACCTAATCTGTTGTGCATATTTAACATGGCAGTCCAGGTTTTAACTTAACAAGTTAGGCAGAAGTCATTCAACTCTGTCATGATTTCTCAGAACCACAAAGTTTTGAGAGATCTGAGATAGCAGCAAGTGAGGTCTGAATCCTGTATTGACCAGCCCACACTCTTCATTTCATTTCGCATCCATGTGGCAAATGTCAGCTCTTCAGCTCCTGGGTTAGAGTCTCAGCTTTTCCACCTTCATGCTGAATTAGTGGCTGTTTCTTCCTCTAGGATTCGGGTGGCAAGCCTGCAGTCTGTGGGATGCCCAGTAACCACATACTTCTCACCTGAGCAGGAAATCTGATCACAGACCCAGCTACTCCTACCCTAGCAAGGGTTGCCGAGGGCTCTTGGGGCTCCACCTGAGGCACAGGCAGGATTCCAGGGTTCTGGTGAGACGCCCAAAACAGGGCCACTTCCCAGCCCTAGCTTTGGGCCAGCACTGTCCCCCTATTTGGCTGTACCAGTTCACAAGTTCTCCGCTGAGGTTCTGGCATGTGGGGCTCAGCTAGAAACAGGTTAAACAGTGTTGCTAGTTCTTCAGAAAAGTCCTGCAGTACGTAGAAAGGTGCGAGAAAAGGCAGACATGGAATTCTGGACACATCCACCCTTTCTAAAGATCAGTCTCTAGCTAATTGGTGAGTAGACAACAACCTGGTGCACAGCTGATGTTTCATCTTGAAATTATTAGTTCTGTTTTTTTTTTTTGGGGGGGGGGGCGGTGGGAGTACCAGGGATTGAATTCATTGAGCCACATCCCAAGCCCTGTTTTATATTTTAGTTAGAGGCAGGGGCTTAGTGCTTTGCTTTTTACTGAGGCTGGCTTTGAACTCACGATCCTCCCACTTCAGCCTCTCAGGCCATTGGGATTACAGGAGTATGCCACCATTATTTTAAGGATGAAAAAAACTAATTTGTGCCAAGTCACAAAAACATTAACTAGTAACTGAGTCCAGGTTATTCTGATGATAAAGACCTATATATACTGTACCATCCTGCTTTCCACCTGCCTGCCTTCCCTCACAAGCGCCTCATACAGCAGCCACTCAGATCTGAAGAAGGTCAACTATAACAGCTACTCCTCAATTATAGGGTTGTCCTGAAGACACTTTACAGATATCCACTTAGCTTTGGTTCCATCACTTTGCCCCATTTCAGGATAAATGGGATATAGGACACCTGATATCTTTATTTAAAGCAAGGGATGAGGACTTCTTACCCCAGGCCACTGGGCCTCATGAAGGCTGCCTAGGCAGGCTTCTATCTCCATCCGTCCCATCAGACCTTTCTCTACCAGCTCCCGAAGTAAGAACAGCAGCAGGTCCCACTGCAAAACACACCATGGGGAAGCTCAGCATTTCGAGGACTGTATAGTTACCCTGATTAGTACAAACTGAAATCTAAAGGGCAGAGCTGCTGAGAAATGGAGGCTCAAGACAAGCATAGGGAGTCCCATTTCAACATGGAATAGGAATAAAGGAAACAAATTCACTCCACAAACTTTATCCTAAAGAATTAAAGTCAGCATACTATAGCAATACATGCACATTTATAGCATCACAATAGCCAAACTATGGAGCCAGCCTGTATGATCATCAATGAATGAATAGATAAATATAATGTGATACACAGACAGTGGTGTCTATTCAACCAAAAAAGGTTGCAGGAAAATGGATGGAACTTGAGAACGTTATATCAAGTGATATAAGCCAAACTCAGAACTAAGTCAAGGGTTGTATTTTTTCTCATATGTGGAAGCTAGAGAGGGAAAAGAAAAGTTGGTGGGGTAGGAAAATCCCATGAAAATCAAAGAGATCAGTAAAGAGACCAGAGGGAAGAAAAGAGGAAATACAGGGGAATGATATCGGCCAAATTAAATTGTTACATTGTATGAATATGGAAGAGTCATTCCCACCATTCTGTAAACTATAATGCACCAATAAAAAATATGCAAGAAAAGGAAAGGAAAAAACAGATCCCTAATACTATCAAAATAAGACTACAGAAGACTAAGAAGCTTTCCTATTCTCACCAGGCTCCTTAGGCAGGAGGACTGTAAGTTGGAGGCCAGCCTTAGCAATTTAGCTAGACCCTGTCTCAAAAGGACTGGGGATATAGCTAAAGCAGCCATGGGTTCAATCTTCAGTACAAAAAAAAAAAAGCTTTCCTACCTGCTACTTCTGACTCACCTCCCTTGGCCGAGTATCTGCCAGAAGCCCCACATTTCTTGGGCTCAGTAGCAGCTGTAGTGGAACTGGACCTTGGAAGTCATCTTTCCACAGGGAAAGCAGCATGTGCAGAAGCCTTCGAGCCTGCCCTCGCTCCAGCCTGTGCTGTGGTGGAGGCCCTAGGACAGGGATCTGGTCTGCAACTATGGGACATGATGGAAGCCAATTTTTTTAAAAATAGAGGCATAAAAGAGATATGTCTAATCCTGCTTATACCCAACCTTGATTTTGAGGGAATATAGCAAGGGAGAAGGGGTTTGACAGAAAGGAACCATACCCAGGAGGGAAGCTAACTCCACAGAGCACTTTGCCAGATGCTGCTCAGCAGGTGGGCACAGGAACTGAGAGAAAAAGGGAGACATGAACGTCATCCTTACTGCTGTGAAGACTGTCCCTGGGACAGTGTGGCTCTACCATTCTTCATGTAGCACATGACATGTCTCACCTGACGGCACCGTAGTGTCTGGCCCATCTGGCCTAGGAGCTGCTCCAGATGCTCTGGGGAAACACCCTCATCAGGGTCTCGGGGCCCAGCAGCCAGAGAGAGCACATCCTGCAGAGAACAGGATAAGACCTCATACCAGGCCAGGACTAGGCTGCCAGAGAATTTGGATTGGGGTGGGGACCAGCCAGTAGAGTGAGTCAGAAGGAAAAGGAAAATCTGGTCCTGGGGGTGAAGCATCTGGACCAAGAGATCCCTGGAGCTGGGGTTCAGGTAGGACAATACAGCTAGGAGAAGCAACCATGTGGGAAACCCAAGAGGAAACAGATGAAGCAGATAAGCCAAAGGACAGTGGGCTACCACAGAGCTTAAGAGAGATTTTTCAACATGGGTCAAAATTAACCAACTCCTAGGGGGCATCTTACAGTGTTTTGGGAAACTGTCCCATGAGATACACAGTCTGAATGTTTTCTAACCCTCATGCTTCCATTTTCTCAGGCAGTGAGGTTTCAATACAAAAATCTGCCTACTGATAAACAGTATTTAGTGGTCATATGTCTTTTCCTCTCTCCCCTACATACTCTCCATTGTAAGTCACTTTTGTTCTTTGTCCTTATTCCACATCTTTATTCCTTGACCAAGGCCAGATAGTAAATACATTAGGTTTGCAAGTCATAAGATCTCTGTTCTAACTACTATGCCATTTTAACACAAAAGCAACATGGACATTTGGTAAACAAATGGCTATAGCTGTGTTCCAATAAAATTTTATTTGCAAAAGTAAGTGGCAAGCACAGTTGGGCCCATTTTGCTGACCCCTACTCTAAAAAGTCTCTGAATTTTTCAAATCAAGTTAGGAGTACAGTTTATTCTTATTGCCTGTAACTAAACAAGCATTATGTCCCACGTAGAAGAACAGTACTGAATTGATACCCATAGCCATTTACCAGCTGCTCCCACTACAACCTGTATAATATAAATTTAGTTTTAGATTTTCCTTCTTGCCCTTTTGGGTGATTCAGGTACTAAAGTCAGTAACATTAGGAAAACCATTTGATTCAGCTCTGCTCTACCTAATCCTATTCAGTAATGAAAGAAATAGAAACTAGACAGGTAACACACAAAGCTTCTATACAGAAATCCTGGAGCTGATGTGAGAAAGGAAAGAAACCAGCAACAGAGCAAGGAGAAGGAATGGGGAAGCTAAAGGGAGTAGGGTAGCTGTGTACTTTTATCTCGGAGATGAGGTGGGAGGGGAGGGGAGCGTGGTGCTCACAGGCGCGGGAGCAGCCCCTCCGCTCCCCCCGGGCAGCCGGTTCAGGACCCTGGGCTCGAAGTGTGCGACTCACAGCTGCTTTCACCTCCCTCCTAATCAGTGCTACAGGGCAGAAGGAGAACAGAAACAGGGTTACAGGAGTGCCCACCCAAGCTCACCATGCCAACCCATGTCCTTCACAGTTTCCAGATGGCTCTGAGTCTCATCTCCCCAAACTGCCCTGCCAATCCACCTTTCCAAATCTGATTCAGTCCCCCACTTTCCCGGACCTAACCTGTAATGTTGGCCGACAGCCAGGCACAGGCTTTTTCTGTTGCAAGCCCCACAGCTATGTTCTCTGCACTGCTTAGTACCTGTGACAGAAGAACTATAGAGTCAGGACAGAGAAGGGTTGGGTGCAATGATGGATACCAGAGTTCAGGACTAACTCCCCACCTTATAGCAGCTGCATACACAGCTACAGGTATGTACTCTTTCATGCATACACACACAAACACAACCACTGGTCTGCTAGCTCAGGCCTTATTCCTACGTACAGCTGCTGGGGTCTCCTCTGGAAGCAGTGCCCGCACAGCCCCAGGGCTCTTCCTTTGGCAGAACCTGAAAGAGTTCAGTGAAATCTATATATTTTAGCCTGAGGACACCCCAAATGCTCCAAACCCCTGACATGGGAGTCTCTACCTCAGACCCCTACCCTGCCCCAGATGCTGGAGGAAGGAAAAAGCCATTAGTCCTGCAGCATTACATGCTCTCTCAATTCAACATTTGGACTTTGTGCCCAAAGATATGAACCTATAGAGAAGGGTAAAAAAGAACAGAAAATGGGGTGGAGAATAGAATAAAGGTTATGAGTGTGAAAGAATAGAGAGAGAACAGAAAAACAAAAGCTAAGATAGGAGAGTAGAGGAGATGAAAGGGTCCAAATAGATTGGCATTTCTTACTCCCGCCCCTGGCTCAATGCTTGGGTCCCATGGGGACACAGCTGGGAACACAAGATCTCCAACAACTGGGCTGGATCTCCCCCTTTCTGTCCCTGTGTCACCCGCTGCTCCTGAAGAAGTGACTCTGCCTGGCGCACCAGATCTGCCACCAGCGTCGCCCTGCAGCAGGGACAGAGGGGTTTGGGGTAGTTGGAAGGGATGAGTTGGAAAGGGGCTGCAAATTCAAGGAAATCTGGTCAGAACTACCTTCAAGGAATATTAGCAATTTCAGCCTTCCCTTTCCACCCACCCCACAGTTGACTTTCCTCAGTTTGACAAAAAGCCATTAAAAGAGACCAGACCTGGTGGCCTATAATTCCAAAGACTCAGGAGACTGAGGCAGAAAGATTGCAAATTCAAGGATAGCCTGGGCAACTTAATGATACCCTTTCTCAAAATAAAAATAGAAAGGGCTGGGGATATAGCTCAGCTGTAGAGCCCCTGGGTTCAATCCCCAGTTACTACCACCACCACCACCGCCACAACAAAAAAGTTGAAAGGAGGCTGGGGTGTACTCAGTGGTAGAGCACTTCCTTAGTGTGCACAAGGCCCGGGGCTGGATCCCCAGCAACACACGTGTGTGAGCACAAAAGAAAAAAAGGGAGTTAAGAGGGCAAATGGAAAGAGATTGAGAATAGGACCCTCACCCACTCTTACTTGATGTGTTTGACACAGTTTGAACCAATTCTCTCTGCCACAAACTCCACAGTCCTGCGCAGGGAAGGTGGCTGGTTGTGGAAAAAGGCCTGGGCAAGCTGTGCCTGCGAAGGAAGGAGCAGCCTCATGAGGGATTCCTTCTGCCTCCCCACACTGGGCACTCTCTGCCCTATCCCTATTCTTACCTGCAGCCCCTGGCTGGTCTGAGGAGCCTGGGCTCCCAGGCCAGTAGTGGTAGTGGGGGTGATTTTCCTCACGAAGCCCCCACTCCGTCCACTACTGCCTGAAACCCATGAAGCGAGCAGTTTCCGGAGCTCTCCTGCATCAGGAAAGTCTAAAGTATTAGTTTCAGAGTCCTCCTCACCCCCTAAGAATGCAAGACTATAAGTACTTGTGGGATAAAGATATGGCACCTGGAGAGCCTCATGAAAGATCAAGGTATTGGGGAATCAGACCAATGGGGTATCTGATAGGTACTCATGAAAGGACAGGCTAAGGACTGTTAAGGGGGATGGGATGCTCACCGATGTAAGGGCAGCAGATGTAGAGCAGCTGCTGATCCACCACAGGCACACTGTCCTGGGGGAGAAGAGGCCAGGGCTGGGAGGGCAGGCGAGCAGGTTTCCTTTCCTCCTCAGCATGCTCAGGGGTAGGACCGTCAGGAGATGTGTAAGGGTTGAACAACTACCACAGTCTGTCTTCTGCTGGGCCCTCCCAGACAGACCACATCTCTGGCTACACCCCAACACTCACCAAGCCATGCTCTGAAGCTGCTGTGTCCACCTCTAATGCATCCACTTGACCCTCTTCCAGAAAGAATAGATCCTCAGGGAATGTGGGAATCTGACAAGAGAGCAAGGCAGCCAAAGCTCCACCCAGCACTTCTGAGACTCACCACACCTCTGACCTCACCAGGCCCAAGAGGCAGCAGGGCCAAGTGGTGGTCCTCTGAAGAACCTTCATCTTTTGGCCCCTACCTTGGTCACACTCTAGTGCTCTTGTCCCCATCTCTACCACAGTAGTCACCATACCTCATCTGGACCCTCACTCTGCCCACCTGGAAGAGCCAGCCCAGGACAGCAAGCAGGAGCAGCTTGTTTAGGAAACACATCTCCCCTTCATTGTCCTGAGATAAGACCAAGCTCCTAAAAGGTAAATGGAGGGTGTGAACAGAATTCATGCAAAGGATGGAATGGAGTAATGGAAAGCTATCACTGGGAAAGTGGTTCTCAAAAGCAGACATAAAACGGACTACATAGGCAACCAGGGTTGCCTTGGCAGCCCCTGCTATATGTATTCTCTCTTGGCTGGGCCATAGGAGAAAGGTAAACAATTGTCTAGTCTGTCTCTGTCAGTCAACCTCTGCCCTTCCTCCGAGGCTCAGCTATGGAACCACACATGAAGTTCACTATTTGATCCTCTTTATAAATAGGACTGAGCAATGTTCACACTTTCTTTTCTTGAGCCTTAGCCTTGCTTTACTCACCGATGTACATGCAGCAGGAGAGTAAAGATGCTCCGGTAATAGTCCAGCAAAGGGACAATGTGATCAGCAAAGGAAAGGAACTCCACCAGCCAGGGCACAGTGAGCACTGCCCGGCGGGCCCTCAGCCCCTGCTGCAGCAGAGCTCGAACATCCAGGACAGGAGGAACCTGGGAGAGCCAGGCTCAGTCAGTGATTGGCCCCTAGAAGGGGCTGGATGATGCCCTCTACCTGCCAGGTTTCCAGAATAGCCAAGGAAACCACTCAACCTCTGTGCCTTTCTGGACCTCCCAGCTCCCTCCTTACCAGGTTCTCCCAATCATTCACCTGGCTCCTGAGGGCCAGAATGGAGTCTTGAAGCTCACGGGTTGGGGGTGGTTCAGGGCCCCGGTATGGCAAGAAAGCCACAAAGCCCAGAAACTTAGCCAAAAGTCTGAGGCTAAGAAGCACCACAGCAAATTGCCTCCGTTCACCCTGCAAGGCACCAAGGGAAGTAAAAGGTCCTAAGTATAAGCCTCCTAGAACAATTATAAATCTGTTCTCTTTGCACTTACCCCTTCCCTCGTAAGTCAGACCCTGTTTATTTCCCTTGTCCTGCTTTCTAACCTGCCAGTCTACATCTGACTCTCCATCTTCATCACCAGGCTCATGTTGAGGCAGGGCAAGGCCATTAAGTTCCCGTATCTTCAAGCTCAGACTATCCATAAGATGTTGATTAAACTGGAAGCTGAAGTGGGGGGGTTGGGAAGCACAAAAAAAAAAAAGAAAGCCAAAGAAAAGAAAAAAAAGTACTAGAGGTGTAGGAAGACCTAGAATTGAGAGTATGTACCCCATACAAAAAAAGATCTACATGATAGATGGTGAGGCTGAGAAACAATGAAATTACCTACATGGGTGAAAGAATGAGAAATGAAATGAAGTAAGAAAGTGTGAGCTGAACGGAGCCAGAGATCACTTACTTCTACCCTGTTATTTATTCCAGGCAGAGGGGAGAGAGTGATTTGCCCTTCTGGGAAGCCGAACCTCTCCCACCCTGACCCTGCCTTTGCAAGACACAGGGGAACTTACCTGCTGGCACTTAGGATGAAGTCCCTGAAGAAGCCTTGACAGCCAGGAAAGGTGGGGGGTGGACAGGGCCCCCCACTGCTCTGAGGAGCCACAAGTCGTTCCTGTAGTCGCCGCAGCCGCCCCAGCTTGTCAGCTCCTAGCATACTCAACACATCTGGGGCCTCACCCAAGACAGTGCCCCCAGCACCACCAGGGCTCTGACACATCTGGGGTGATGGAAAGGAAGGAAATTGAAAGCAAGTAAGTGAAAAGGACTGATCAAAATAAGCACAAAGTAATGAACATTTATGAAATGCCAACTCCATGTTAGGCACTTTGGACAGTTTTTGAGGGAGGAATTATATTCCTCTTCTAAAGGTGAAGAAACTGAAATTGCAAGTGTAACCATGTGCCTAGAATTGCTGGAGTTAGGATTTGAAAAGACCTGACTACTAAGCTCAGCTTTCTACCACAGCACCAAACAAGAAAAAGGAGGTAACATTTGAGGCCCACCTGGGCAACTTAGTGAGACCCTATTTCAAGATAAAAAATAAAAGGGCTGGGGACATAGCTAAGTGGTAGAGCAGTCCTGGGTTCAATCCCCAGAACCACACACACACACAGAATGTAATAGATCAGGGAAGGGCAAAAGGTGCAGGGCACATCAGAGAGCATTCTGTTTTTTTTTCTCTGCCACCTGAGTTTAACTGCCACTTAAGGGCCTACTTGGCTATCCACACTGTCCAGGGTGCCATCCTTTACTTGGCTGCTTACAATACCCGCAGTTTGCTGTAGATTAATTTCTTGACAAGCTATTACCTGGAGAAGTTGTTTTTGGAAAAGCCGTACAAAGTGGCTATGGCTGCAGGCTGCAGACAGTTGACCCATCATGGCTCTGAGGAACAAGAAGCAGGTGTAGAGTGTGTGGGAAGGAGGTAAGACAGACAAAGATCTGAGCAAGCAAGCCAATCCTCAGGCTTTTCAGCTGTTTACCAGGGACTTGAACAGACCTTTTCCAGAGCTGGCCTGCATAGGGGCATGGGAGAAGGTAAAGGACACCCCTCAGCACCAAGATCCCTCAAAGCTAAAGATACACTTAACCAAACAAGAAATGCCACCTCTTAAATCTTCAGGCCACACTAAGTGCCAGTGTACTTCAAGACCAATGTGGACTACAGATATGTGGACTATATACCTTGACCACTTCAAGGTATGTGGTTAGAAAATACTCTTTCTGCAGCCTAGTCATCTATCTATGCAAAATTATCAGACATGCCCAAATTAGAGGCGGAAGTCTAGCCAATGACTTGGTCCAAAATTCAAGCAACCTTGATTAAGAGCTTTGCACTTTCCCATTTGCCATTATAGAATAAATAAGTGCAAGGCACTTCTGAGTGGAAGCAGCTGGAAAGAAATCCCTTTTGAGTAGAGGCAGAGTTGTCAATAACTAGAGACTAAGGAGGAGAAAAGAATATATAGCTTTGGGCTGGAAGGAGTGGTGGAAAGCTTTCTTCCAGTCAGCTTACCAAGCATCACTGAGATACCATCAGAAGCAAGAAAAAGGGACCAGCATTTGAGTACCCACCTGATCCTACTGCCCAAGCCCTTCTCAAAATCCCAGCCAGGCTCCTCGTGGCGATCTTCCCACTCTCGAAGAACCTCATAGAACACATCTCTGACAGACACACAAGAATACCCGATCAGCTGCAGCACAGCCATCTCTAACTCATTTCCAGTGAAGTATTCCCTAGGTTGGAAGACTGAGGACAGCCCTGTCCACAGTCCTTCCTTAAGCTCCAAAGTTCTTTATGTGATGGTAATGTTACAGACCCAGCAGCAGCACTCATTGGCCTCACATACATCCATGAGCAGTGAAAGTGAATCCTGGCATACTCCTGTCTGAGTAGTTTATACACCTGTGAGAGGGCTGTCAAACTCAAGGGTTCAAGTCCATGAGAACAAAACAGAATGAAACAACTGGCCCTCATGATGGCTGTTAATTAGAGCCTGGGGGTACTGACCTACTACTTGTTAGTGCCAGACTCCTATTTTCTATGAAAACAAGACAGCTGCCTATTACAGAGAAAATGTTGCCTTATTCCTTCCCTCAATATTCCCTTTCCATTTCACCTCTGTTTTTTAAAAGTATGAAAGGCTCGGTCACTGGAGAAGTTGGCACGATTGTCAGTTTCTGGCTGAAAGGAGACAGCTTGAGCCGAGGGTGGCATCGCCAGAGAGACCTAAAATATGGCAGAGACATCAGAAACTTTATAAAGCCTGTGGAAGTCATGCTCAGAAGACTTTACTCCCTTATTGTTACCCAGAATTAGCTCATATGACAATTAAGTGTCATGAGCAGATTGCCTGAATTCATGAAAGCTAGGAATGGTCAGGTCCAGGTTAGTAGTCCTCTAAGCTGGGGTCACACTACCTTGGCAACACTGCCCTCGTAAGCAGCTCGAAGTCGGCCTTGAAGAGCTGGTGAGAAGCACAGTAGTCGTTCATTCTCAGTCAGCAGCTTTAAGGTCCCTTTGTCCAAGGAGGAAAGAACCCTACAGGGAGAAGTGCACAAATAACTGAGACTGAGACACAGACTGCAAACAGGAAGCAGGCACCCTATTAAAGTGTATTGGGAGCATGGAGCAGGTGTGTAAAGTCCAGAAATGTACAGTAGGGTTACGGGTCAAAGACCAAGACAACAGAGGCAAAGGGCAAGGAAATTAGACCTTTCAGAGCAGAGATCAAGAGAGCAGGCCAGGAATATTAGCCATAAATCCAAAGGTCAGCTGTTGAGTATATTAGATTCTTTTAGGGGAGACAAACTCAACCTTGACACAAAATTATAGTTAGGATAAGGTCCAGGACCACTGTACCTGTTAAGTACAAGTATATAACCCAAGGGGTCAGAGAATCAGACAAACAATTAAAATAAAAGAAACTCACTGAAATTGGTGCTCTAAAACCTGCACTGCAAAGAACACACAATCATGGATGCTCTGGAATAGTGGGCTTTCCAGGGAATCTAGAAAGATAGTAACAAACTGTTAATTAAGGGCTATCCCATCTGTAGACTCCATTTCTAGAATATGAGGTATCTCACTGATGTAGAGCACCTTGACTCAGTTCAAGGTCACTGTTCTTGGCAGCCACCATCCTTCGGGCAGTAAGGAGCTGAAAGACGAAGAAAAGCTCCAAGAAGAGGTTTGGGACCAGGTTCTCTGGATATAAAAAGAAATCCCTTAGTACTGGAACCATTCGGAGCCAAGGCTCAGTTTTACATGGCTTATGCTGCAGTTCTACAAGTATCTCCATTGTAGCTCCCCTTGCTAGCTCTCTCACCAGCAATGCACGAGGAGTAGACAAGGGCTACCAGCTCCAGGCGCTGGGGGGAAGACACTCTGGCAGGGTCAGCAGGTTCTGCAGTGAGGCTTCCAGTCCGGCTGGGGAGGGAAGTTCCCAATTCTGGGGTGGGAGAGGCAGGGGTAGGTGACTGCTGCAGCTGTTTAGAGCTATGGGGATAGAGAGATCTCATGAGCAGTTAGCCTGGCTTTCCATACACATTCTCTCTCTCTCTCACACACACTCCCTCCAGAGAAGACATTGACCAGCCCAGGAAACAAACCCAGAGTTCCCACGGGGGAAATCAATTTCACGGAAAAGCCCTGCAGGTCCCCCACAAGGGAGGAAGCTGACATCCCAGGGAGCAGCAAGGCCATACCGCTCCTTCCTGAGCATCTCCCGCTCCTCTCGCAGACTTCTGCACCCTGGGGGAAGGCCAAGGCCCCAAGGGCTAGTGTCCAGGGTTGAGGGTTGGGAACTGGGGACACAGCTGATTGGGGGTGAGGTGAAGCAGATCTTGGGCTTGGAGAGTGACCGCTCTTCGCTCACCGGAGTTGGGTTGATCCTGCGTGAAGGCTTCGTCCTGCTGAGAGTAGCCATAGGTTTTCCTCAAATTTCTATCTTCAAATAACGCCCACCCCCCACAGCTGGGCCTCTTGCAAACAAACAAACAAACAAAAAATCCCCTCACTATTATAGTTACCTCGCTCCCAACCTTCCAACCCTTCCCGAGCTCAGCTCTGATTTACAAACTTCCCTAGCAGAGGCTTCAGACCACCCATCTCCTCTGTTAGGGCTGGTTCTCACCCTGCAGGGCCGGGGGGAACCGAGCCTACGGGAGGGAACTCCTCCAGGTTGCTGAGGTTTGGTGGATCAGAGAGTGTGAGGCTGGGGGTACTGGGGCTACCAGAGCCCTTAAGCCTCCGGCCTCCGGGCCAGGACAGGCTCTCCCCGCCGACCCCCTCCTCTGGGACCCCGGGGGCACGGCCTCCTCTCTCCCGGGCAGGCCCCGGACCCCGCCTCCTGCCCCCGCGGCGGGTCAGAGGGGCCTCAGCGGCGGTGCTCGGGGGCTCAGTCGTAGGAAAGAGCTGGCTGCGCGCCCCGCGGCCACCCCGCGGCTGGCCCCCCGGCCTCCCTGGCAAGGCTGCTGAGGCTCCTGGAGCCTTGGCTGGGGTTGGGGGGCCCTGCGGGAGGACGCGGCTACTCTGCTCCCTCAGGAAGTTGAGCAGGAACGGCACGAATTCCTTCCGTAGGGGCCGGAGTGAGTTCAGCACGGCCGCCTCCCCCGGGGTCTCCTGTGGAAGAAGCAGAGGTCGAGGGGAGAGATGATCAGCTGCCAGCCCAGGTCCGGGGCAGCTGGGACCGCAGGGCGCGCCTAGGGTGGGCGGCCCGGGCAGCGGCGCCCGGTCCGAGTGCACTCGGCCCGGGCTGGCAGCTAGGCATGTTAGAGGAAGGGATTGGAGAGGCAGTATCTCCCGCGGGAAGCTGATTCTGGTCAGCCCTGGGGGCGTGTCGGTGCTGTTACCTCCGAACTCTGGGTGCTGCGCGCGATCCACCGCACGGCGGCTGCGACCGACACCTCCTCTCGCAGAAGCGACTCCAAAACGGCCGCCATCCCGGTCGGGGCGCTCTGGGGCAACTGCGCAGGCGCCGGCGCGCCACGGGCGGCCTGGGAGGGGCGGGGCCGGCGGCGGGGAGCGACCGTTGGGCGGCAGGGCGCGGCGGGTGGGTCTTGTTCAGGCCTGCGGTCGAGGAGTCGCTGGGGCCGCTGTGCTTGCCAACAGGCTGCACAGCCCAGGAGGGCCCCTACCTTGACTACGCCGGCCCGAGGGGGCGACTCGCCGGGACTCGAGTTAGGATGGGCTGCCGCGAGGCAGACGCAACTCTCGGGAGACCAAGGGCGCGGGAGAGCGGCCGGCTGTAAAGGTGAACAATTCTAAAACAGCAACCAGCCCACGCCTTCTGCCATAAGCACATTTCCGAGAGTTAGGGTTTTTTCAGGTTTACCATCCAAAAAGTAGTTATGAAGTTTTAATCTAACTTCTCATTTTGACCTCGTTTTTCTCAAAGGCTGACTTTTCACCCATTGGCCAAGCTTTGCAATGTTCTCCATTAACTGATTATTTAGGAGAGAATTCTTCCTGAAAGATCAATAAATGGTCTCTAGGGATCTCTAGGGAACTGCTTTACACAGTGCTACTCAAGATTAATATTTCAGCTACTTTCCAGTTGAGATGCCCATAGGCATATTCACGATTAGCTTCTGGGAGATCAAGGTGTGTGAGGGTATATTTGTTTTTATGCGTTACGAGGTGGGGGTGGGGGGCAATGAACCCAGGGCTTTGCACTCAGCAGGCACCATGCAGTACCACTTAACTGCACTCCTTGCCCTTATTTTGAAAAATCTGATACTGGGCATTTTTGATGTTGCTCCTCAGTGAGAAATTTAAGAGAATCTAGGCTGAAAAATGTGGAAGGCAGTTAATATTCCACGTCCTACGGAGGGAGCGGAGGGAGCGTGAAGCCAGGACCCTGTGAATGCCTCCTGGGTTCCTTGGTTCAAAGGAAGATTACAACAGGAACCCAGAGGGTGGCGGAAGCCTGAATCCCTCTGGTGGTACCAGAGGTGTTTCCTATGGAGGAGGAAAAAATACCTTCAGCCAGAGAGAATAATGCACTGAAAGGGAGCTTCTGACAGTTTTGTTGCACAGGAACCATCTCATATTTCTGAACCTGGTTTTCATCTGCAGAGACACTGAACACCTAGTTTCTATTCTTTCAGCCCAGGGCTTCATTTTCCTAGGTCACTTCCGGTCACTGTTTTCTGGAGTACTGCATTTTCAGTAACACTTTTTGCTCCCAGTTAATTTTTTTTTTTTTTTAACATTTATTTATTTTTATGTGGTGCTGAGGATCGAACCCAGGACCTCGCACGTGCTAGGCAAGTGCTCTACCTCTGAGCCACAACCCCAGCCCCCAGTTAATCTTGTAATTGCTAATGCATTCAAAATTTTATTAAATTAGAAAAATATTTCCCACTTTTGAAATCAAAACCATCACACAAAGAGAACTAGAGTTTGCATGCGGAATGAATATTTTATTACTAGATTATAAAAATAAAATACAAAATAATTTTAAAACAGAACTTAAAACACTGTACAAAGCTTTAATATGATACAAATGATAAAATTAAATAAATTACATTTTTTATGTACAGATGGCCTATACAAAAGCACTCCATGTTTCTGCCAATATTCTGTCCTTGGTTGCCTGAGCAAAAACGCATAAAGGGAGCTGCTTGGAGGGGAATGGGACTATGCAGTACCTTTGGCGATATTTCTCATCTCTGATCCCATGAAGAGAAGAGAGGTACAGGAAAGTGGAATTATTTGTCATCTATTTTAACTCACTGGTCTTGTTTAACGAGAGAATTCTGGTTTGTGGTTAAATCTGATTTAATAGCTGCCAATAGCTCATATCTTTCAAGATGTATATCTAATTCAAAACTGGATGTCCCCTCCCCTTTCCTAAAAGCTGGGAACTTGTAATAAATGGCCAAATAAAATAGGTGCTATTTTAGGAAGGAAATCAGAGGAGCTTTAGGAACTGCATCAGGGAAAAGTGAAGAAGGTTCAAGCCTGGGTCATCTGACCTGTTCTCTTTCCTCAGTCCACCCAATTTCAAATCCCTAAGTGGCCCAGTGCTATATATTCCTTTATCTGGCTCAAAGCATTTTACCTTAGCGAACTAATTCACTATGTTGTGCATAGTTGAAAATTGTTTTGGAAAGTCTCAAAGCTTTCCCTTTTCTGGGAAACCCCCACAAATAATCACAGCCAAGCTCTGGCTGCCTTGTTACCTCTTGTAGGTGAATGAAGAACACCCAGAGTCCAGTGAAGTGCTATGAATTAATTTTTTAGAGATTTAAACTATATAAGAGGAAAAAAGCATCATATGGGAAGGGTAGTCTATATAAAAACTTGATTTACTCAATGTTTTTAAATAGGTGAGTGAACATTTACATACAAAATATGAAACAACATTAAACTACTAAAAGGAGGTAAATTTCCTAACTGTTTTTAGTGTAAAAGTATGTCATCAGCAAATCTGTAGTGCCAGGAGCTCAAAGTCGGCCTCACATATCCTGTTCTCAACCCAGAACCCTTGGCCCAAGTCTGGAACACATAGTTAGCATTACCAGTGTACACACTGTGCCCACACTGTTACTTCCAAGTAAAGAGGAGGCAGTAACCTGTTAAGTTACACAGGGCAATGAAAGGAAGGGCTTCACCTCTGTTACATGCCTGCTAAGTATAAGGAAATATTCAAATTGTTACTGAAAAAATGTTACTTTGTTGCTATTTAGTGTTTTTGAGATTATATGGAACCTAAAGTGATCCTGATCTTTTCACATTAATTTTCTGATCTAAATTTGCTCAAGGAAAATAAATAAAACATCAAGCTTACATATTTTTAAAGTAGAAGTAGACAATCACAACCAAATGTCTTGATAAGCCATATCCAGCTGGGAATTTCTTAAAGATTAAGGTGTGCAGCATCCAGATTCTCCTCTAAGTGGATAGGAATCCTTGTCCAATGTCTTGGGAATTCTCCCTATATAACTCCTGTTATATAGCAATGCTGGCAACAAATTCTGAAGGCTCCAGTGACTCCGCAATTTCTCATGACTGCAAGAAATTGCCAAAATATAGAAAATATCCAATAATATGTCACATCCACAAAGTACACACTCAAGGGTTTTTTGTTTTGTTTTTGGTGAGGGCAGAGAAGCGGGATGTCCTGACAACCACCTGGTTTGCCAGGCACTATACATCTCCCACATGGTCTGAGGACTGGAACTCCTTCTCTAAGAGTCTAAACCAGCATCAGTGGTTACTGAATTGGGGTATATACTGACATAGAGGGAAAACCATAGTAATTACATGCCCTAATCCTATAATACTTTGTGTCAAATCATAGACAAGTAGCTATTTTGCTAATATACTATCTGTAGAACCAAACTCAACAAAGTTAAACAGTGCAGTTGATGTCAACCATTCTATCTTCTTAATAACAGATGCTAAACCATCTCTCCCCATAAGCAAAGTCCAAAAACATGGGTGGTAAAATGTACAAAAACAGAAATGGGAAGATTTTAAGAGTGAATGCCAACAATTCCAAAACACATGAACATGACATGACAGAGGGATTCTCTAAGACATACCATGTTTTGATAAGATATAAAGGAATGAAAGAAGTTCTTAAAATATGAAAAATTTTGATCTCCAAGACTAAATCTAGATTATCTACAAATAAATATATTTTCAAACAGCCAAAGTAAGATGCATTTTTTTCCAAAGCTGCTAAAATTCTGAATTCTGGATCCAGTTTCTCCTTTCACCAATTCCTAATGTTAGGTTAGGAACATAAAACTGTCTGCTTTTGGGAAAAAGGCATCTGTTTTTAATTCAAAGCTACTGGGTACAGAAAAACTATGGTTTAAACTATCTGAGTTTGGGTTTGTAAAACATGCACCAATGTACAACTTTTCCCTTGTAAAGCGGATGCAACTATAAAACATTAGCTTAGGAATCTGTAATCTGGAAGGAGTCTCGGGTGTCTACCAAAGAACCTCAAGTTCCCATAGCAGCTAGGAATCAGACAAGAGATACTGCAGATCTAGAACACTGAGTCAGTAAGCAGTGGCTTAGTATGCTAAAGCAAATAATATTGGGTCTCAATTACCATTTTGCTACTTATTTAGGACTGGATTAACTTGGCAACTATTATTAAAGACATCCACTCCAAAATATGCAACTTAAAAAGCAGTAAATGTATCTGTGCCACTGTCAGCAAGGCCAGCTTGCATACCAGAATTGAGAATGAGAGTGTCTGCCTGCTGAAGGCCTAATATTCAAAGGTGACTTATAATTTATGTCATAATGTTAAATTTGATATCCAGTTTTCCTTCTTTGTTCACTATCCATTAAAGTTAAATGTCTTTAAGCTGATAATATTACTAGGTGGGATTTTAGTATTTTAACTAATTCATAAACCCTGGAGATCTGGCAGCATAACTGAGAAAGAATACTACCTGAAGGCATTGGGCTGGTGCTATTCCTATCTTCTGTTCCACCCAAGTAATCCCAGAGACTAGACAAGGGAAGGCAAGGTCAAAAGTGTGGCTAGGTAACCAGCCATTCTGTTGTGATAGGAGAAACCAGGAGGTACTTGATTTTTCAAAAGGTAATTCAAACTTCTGCCCAATAATACTTTTAATACAGTTTGGTTTGACTTTTTAGTTAATGGCCACATTCATCTTAAGTAAACTATCCAAAATGGTTTAAAATTACTTGGAATAAAATAAAATAACTTGGATGATCTATAACTGTAATCTGAAATATGCCACCACTTAAAAACCCAAAAATAAAGGGGGAAAAACCCCAAAACCAAACAAAAACATTGTTCTTTGTATAATACTTTAAAATAAAATAAAAACAAAAATTCTTGTGCCAAAAGTGCTTGCTCAGGGCTGTCAACTTCTATTTTTAGCCTAAGATACATCTAACATCTAAAAGTACAAACTATGCTTTTAAAAACCGTTAAGTAAATCTCTATTAGAACATAAGATTAGTCTATTTCTTTTGAAAGTATCAGAGCAGAAACATCTTTGGTTAACTCTTCTACATGCAAAGTTAAATATTCTTACCCAATAAGGCTGTTATCTCTGAATCTTGATGAGTTTGTTAATGCCACATAGAAAAAAAAGAAGCAACCCAGTGTAAAGATTGGTAGAAAAATGGAAGGAACCAAGAAAACATACTGTTATCATGTTGCCATCACCATCATTTTTGACTGCCAGCATAGAAACGCCAACAATAACACAGACCCACACACCAGAGTTGTACCCTCATCAGCTTTTCCAATGGGTACTATTAACACATTTCTGACTAGAGGGGTCAGTATTTAAATTTGTCTACCTTTAGCATAATTTATAGCTAATTCAATAGAATAAAAGATAATTTCCTAATTATCCCCCATCCCATTCTCACTCCCACCCAAAAAAGTAATGTGAAAAAAAGAAAGCAGGATGGCAAGTATTTGGAAATGTTTTAAAAATCAAATTATAATCTGACCCATGATTATAATCCCAGTCTATCTACTCTAACGATAAGGACAGAACTATGTGATTAACATAACAAATCTTTGAGTATTACAAGCATGTCCCAGTAATTTTTCCCCTATTAAAATCTTTTTCAAAAACAATTAAATAAGCTATCTTGGCTTGTTAAAGACCACCAACCCTTGCATTACACACAGGGAAGGCAAGAAAAATCTAAGGTGTCACATGCCAAGAACATATTTTCAGAAAATGAAGTTAGACAAGGCCCAAGTGTACATGAGGCACACAATACAAAAGAAATTTCACCATCTGTGATCTTGAAATTACAAATGGAGAATGAGAAAGAATGACTTTTTATAAGCATATCTCTCTATATATTTATAAATATTTATATAATTTACCATGAAGACATGCAAGTAGTGTTATAGCAACTATTATACAATATAATACAGAAAGATCAGTCTTCCAATATTACAGCTGCTTTAGATAAACAGCAAATTGTCTTATCTACTGCATTCCTCTGTAGTGCTTGAAACTGGAGAGAAATTAAGATTCCATACTATGCTACATTTCTTATGGGAGACCTTATATGCCTCAATATAGTGTTTTGAGTTTGTATGTTAAAAAGCTCAACACAGATAAAGAGAACAAGATAGGTTCAGTGCAGCTTCAGGGCAACTTTGATGCAGCATTAGAATGTGTTCACTTGGTGAGGAGATAACATTTCTTTTTTTGTTTCTTTCCCAATTCAACCTATTAGGTTTGGCAGCAAACACAAGGTCAAAGAGAAAACTCACAGATATTTGCTAGAAGGCAAATTTCAACAGCAAACAGAACAAATTACCTGACCTTAATAAGTACTTTTCAACACAAAACACCTACAGAGTATAAAAGAGCCCATTAAAAAGTCTAGTATACTTTAATTTTGCTTGATTCCTATTAGCAGAGGAGATTAGAACAAATATGATCCTCCTTAGTTTCATAAATTGAGATTACATGGGAATCAGGCCAAGAAGCCCAACTATTGAACTAAAAAACACAGAAGCAGGTAATAAAACAATGAAAGAAAAATACTTAGCCTAATCTTATTTCCCCAAATATTCATTCCTTATTAGCTAAATGTATAAAATATAAAATTTAAAGATTATAAGCCTCCATAACACACCAAATGTTTTTGTTTTTCTTTCTAAATGCATAAAGTCACATTCCAAAGCATTGTGCTTCCCTAATATCATCTTGGAGGTTGATATTAGAAAGAGCTGGTACCTAGAAGACCTAAGGAAGCCTACTAACTTCACTCAGTTTTCCTTCCACAAGGAGAACACTTAACAGATTGTAAAGGGGTTCTTCCATCTTCAAAGATGTTACCTCACTCTCTTTCCCTCTATCCCTAAAAACTAAAGCTTGTAAAGTAAGTAGCTTTAGTCAGATTTTTGTTTCCTATACCTAAGTTTCTCAGTTATTTTTCATAATAAAAATGTACTGGGTTAAAGAACTGTTGCTCCAAAGAAAAATATTATTAGTGCACTAAAAAAAAAATTGGGAATTGTGAAATTCTCAGCATGTGCTGTTAAATGCCTATTAGAATGTATTGTTAAAAGAAGACAGATTGGATTCAGTAGGAAACACCGACTTAAAAAGATGTGAAATCCAGGAAGGGTGCTAGGAATGAAGCAAAGGGGTACATTCTCAATACACTAGATAAACACACAAGCCAAATATAAAGAGTACTGGCTCCCTGGCAATAAGCTTCTTTATATATATATATATATATATATATATATATACACACACACACACACACACACACACACACATATACTCTAATATGTGAGCAATGATTTCAAGGTTCAGAAGATTTGAATGAAAATATCAAACATTTTTGCTATATAATTTTTTGAGTAGAGGTTTTAAAAATTAGATGAAATTCCTTAAAAGTAAAATTCCATTCTATCTTCTACCCTCAACTCTTGTTTCAAAGTCAGCTAAAAGTTGTGAAAGCTCATTTAATGAGTTTCTGCCCCTTGGATTTTGCTGGATGCCCCTTCCTATGCAAAAGGCATTGTTCCCAATCTGCTTGCTACCTGCTTTAGGTAAATCCTTATTATACATTTATGTCTTCTTATAAATAATTGATCATGTTACTTTCTTTTCCAAAAGATCAACACTGATTTTTTAAATAGACAGTACAGAGACACACATGCATCAGGTTTAGGAGGAAGATCTCACACCTTTCCCAGACAGGCAGCCCAGCTCCTATCTGCTGAGTTTACTGGCTGGCTTACTCTTCCCTGGAGGGGTTTTAGTGCTGGCTGTGTGGTGGTAGAGGCTGCCAGATCCTTTTGGGCCATTCTTGCTGGGTTTGCAATGTTCCTGCTGGCAGGACCTTCTGGAAGAGGATGATCCTGAGTGGCTGGGAGGTGACTTGCTTCTCCCCAGGTGTGGGGATGAACTCCTCTGGTCATGATGGGGCCTCCCAGCCCTAGATGGTGAGGAACTAGACGTGCGAGGCAAGGAGCTGCTTCGAGGAGAGGCACTGGGACTCCTTCGAGGGACAACTGGACTCTTGGGTGGTGTTTTTGGATTGTGAGGAGATCCTGGGGTCTTGCACTGAGTAGTGCTCCGGGGTTTCTGAGATCCATTTTGAAGAATTTGGGCCAGCCGGGAGAAGAGGTCTGAGTCTGAGTTACTACTCCCTAGAACTCTGTATCTTCGTAGCCTTAAAAGAACAAAGAAACATTTTCATTTTAATTCATTCCAAGTATACCTAAAAGTTACAATGTCCCAAATCATAATGTCTACCATGTGCGTCAAAATCAGAAAATACACTAACAGAACAAAAAGTTACTCTTTCACATACTAGAGATGTGACCCTTAGACCAATGCTTTTCTCTTCTGGCTTTTAGTAGGAATACTATTTCATAGTGTCACTGAGAAGTACTGGAAGAGACTACCTTTTAATTAAATCCTTAGCATTGAAAATACCTTCCTAAGCATGATATAAAACAAGAAGTCATTTAAAAAATTCATTTCATAAATACTATACCATAACCCAAGTAAAAGGCAAACCACAGGCTTGGATAAAAATTTCTTCAATATATTTTGCAAAAATGTTAATTTTAAGAAAAATCACTCAATAGGGTGGTGTTTGATAGGAACATCACCACCAACAAAACAACTGTCTCATGAATAATCAAATACAAATTAAAACTTTTTTTCAAACTGACTCAATTTTTTCTTTTTCTTTTTTAAACACATGCATGTGTATATATTTGTGTGAATATGAACAGGTCATTAATTTTTTCCTTTATTATGGCAATTCCTGGTTACAAATTTATATAAACTACTTAGAAAAGATGAGACAAAATGTTTTTAAATGCACATACAATGATAGAAACAATCAGTTACAATAAAATAACAAATAGTGAATAAGGCTCTTAATCTGATAAAATAAGTCCAAAAGTCATAATTGAATCAATGATATTCACAAAAATTTTTTAAAAAGATAGTGTCTTGCTATATTGTTCAGGCTGGTCTCAACCTCACGATCCTCCTGAATGAGTCTACTTATGTGAGGTATGTATACTGATCAAAACCATAGAGAAAATAGATTAGTGGTTGCCATGGACTAGAGGGAGAAGATAGTAAGGATTTATTGTTTAATGGTTTTAGTGTTTCACTTCACATGATGAAAAGAGTTGTGAAGTAGATGGTAATGATAGTTGGACAATAAAATGTACTTAATACCACTAATTAGTAACTTAAGAATTATTGATGATAAATTATATATTGTGTATATTTTACCACAATAAAAAATTGGAAAAAAGAATTAATTTGTACTGTGCTATATAATAAGGCCTGTGAAAGGTAGGGAAGAAAGCAGATGCTCAAAAGCAAGCAAAAAAGAAATGCTACCATTGACGTTACAGTAAAGCAGATACAGAAATAATGTGACACAATTAACATACTCAAAGCAGACTGTATTACCTGGCTTCTACTCCAGGCCTTGTAGGTGGCTTTCCTGGTGGTGGTCGAGGCAAGAACTGGGATGAAGTTGAGCTATTGACTTGATCTGCGTTGACCCACGCAACTGGCCTTGGAATCTTACTCTTTCTTGCCTGGGAAATAATAGGTGACAGAAAGCTGTCTTCAGCTGACTTACTCAGGTGAGAATCTATTGCCAGTTTTGAAAATGGAGTGAAGACTTCCTCCTCAGAAAAGTGAACAGGAACAGCAGCTAGTTTCTCCTCTAACAGCTTATCAGAGGCACTTGAGAGGTCACCAAGGAAAGACTTGAATTGCCTTTTTTCCACCAGGAGTTTGACTAGGTCAGGCTGATAAGCTTTCTTCTGGAGGAGCTTTTCTTTTGCAGAAACTGGAGAGGAAGATTCAAAAGTTGAGTCTATCTCTTGTGCTAAAACAGGGATTCGACTATGTCTACTTACAAAGGATGACCTAATCATATCCTTCCGAGTTGGGGGACCATGTTCATTCTCTGAAACACAATGAAATAGTTCTCCATTTCTAGGGGCAATTTTCTCTCTCTTACCCTCTTGGTGCAAAAAAGTAGAGAGGTCTCCCTGATGACCTGGCAAGTCTTCACTCTTAATGTCATCATTCTTAGATAGTATAATTTTTTGCATTGGTGCCACCTGGCCTATCTGTCCTTCAACATGTGGATCAATGACTCTTGAAGAAATTTCTGAAGTGCCAATTACCAAAAGCTTCATTATTTCATGATTTTTGTCATGATTTGGCACCACACTAAAAGTTTGTGTCTTTGTCACATCAAGAGGTTCAGTAGTAGCAGAATGATCCCTTTCCACAGTTACCAAATCTCCTGGAAGAGATATGTCAATACATTGCTGCCCTTTACTTAACTTTTCATCTTCATTATCTGACCCTAGAAGAATGCTTTTCTTTTCAGTTTCCCCAGGGAGATTCTCAAATTCTCTTACAACCAGTCTATTATAGTCAGGAAGATCTTTTGGTCCCAGGTCTTGAGATTTGTCACTCTCCCTAATATCAGGTAACATGTCTTGACCAATGTGATCTATCTGAAGCCCCAAATCTGTTCTGCTTCCTCCACTAGGAAGTTCACCCTCTGTCACAACCAAGCCAGAGAAGTTCTCCCTTGGAGAATAAAGTTCTACAGAGGGCTCCATGGGCTGAAGATCTTTTTTCTCTGGCTGCTGACCATAGTGAAAACTTCCTGAAGTTGACTGTGTTGATGCCACAGAAGGTCTAGGAATTGTAATCTGGAGGTGGAAGAAAAAAAAATGAAATGTGATTATGTGAAACATTAATCAAGATACATGAATTGAGATTTATTTTCATTACAATTCTTAATACACCATTATACAATAATTTATCATATCTCTGATTATATATAAGTTATATTGACACCAAATTCACATCTTCATACATGTATTTGGTATAATAATGAGATTTAACACTTCAAGCAGATATTGATCAGGTCTGCCCAATTCATACAAAAAATGGGCAATTTTGAATAAAGATGATTGACATTCATACTCCCCTATTCTGTACAAAATAGTCTCTTTAGGTTCATCGTGGCCCTCCCTCCCTTCCTCTCTTTCTTTCTTTTAAATATATATTTGTAGTTGGACACAATATAGTTGTAGTTGGACACAATATCTTTATTTTATGTGGTGCTGAATATTGAACCTAGCACCTCGCACATGCTAGGCAAGTGCTCTACTGCTGGGCCACAACTCCAGCTCCCATCCTGGACCTTTCTTAAGCCTGCTCTATGCCTGGAACACTTGATTTTTACAGATGACACCAACAGAGAATTGGAAGGTTGGAAGAAAGAGAGTACTAAGTGCTAACTCTCTGCTTCTTCCTAGGGGAGTCTTGCAGTTTCAGTGGTGGCTACACTCTACCATCATAGCCATGGCTCCTGTCACATGACCCCTTTCTCACAGTGATGACTTTCACACAGGTTCTGCTTAACAAACCCCTTCTTCCCATTCAGGATTCATTAGAGCTGGCTCCCTCTACTGCTGGTCCTGTTGGGTCTCTTAACTACATCTATAGCAAGTTCCTTTATAAAACTCTCTCTCAGTCCTTTTGAGTGTGCCATCTATTTCCTGCCAGAATACAGATATGGGATGATAAGGAAAATTTATTGGGAAATGATTGTCATTTGAAAACTCCTAAATTTTCATGCACAGTTTTTTTCATCAATTCTATCAATTGATGTTAGAAATATTACATCTTCCTCTGAGTAAAGGCATACAAAGATATTTATGAATGTTGTATATCTAATTTGTAAAAATCAGGCCTATGATGAGTGAAATTCTACCATTCTTTTTTTAAAAAAAATATTTATTTTTTAGTTGTAGTTGGACACAATACCTTTATCTTATTTATTTTTATGTGGTGCTGAGGATCAAACCCAGGGCCTTGCATGTGCAAGGCAAGCACTCTGCCACTGAGCTACAGCCCCAGCCCATCTACCCTTCTTCTTCTTCTTTTGTTTTTTTAATATTTATCTTTTAGTTTTAGGTGGACACAATATCTATATTTATGTGGTGCTGAAGATCGAACCCAATGCCTCATGCATGCTAGATGAGCACTCTACCTCTTACATTCTTAACACTGAAATCATTTCAATTCTAGGTAAGATTCAATATCTGAGACAACACCTTTTTGTTGTTATTTTTGATGGCACTGGGCATTAAATCCCAGAGGTACTCTAACACTGACTTACAGCCTCAGCACACCCCGAGCCCGCAATTTTTGTGAGATAGGGTTTTACTAAGTTGATCAGGTTGGGCTTGAACTTGTGACTTTCCTGCCTCAAACTCCAGAGATTATTGATGTAAACCATCAGGCCCAACTAGAATGCCCTTTCTTAAGACACCTAAAGTTAGCTGGGGTTGTGGCTCAGTGGTGGCGTGATTGCCTAGCATGTGTGAGGCACTGGTTCAATCCTCAGCACCATGTAAAAATAAATAAGATAAAGGTATTGTATTCATCTACAACTATAAAATATTTTTAAAAAAAGGTGGGAGTGGGGGCACCTAAGTTTCCACACCTTCATTTTTTAAAAAGTAAAATTAGGAGTTTGAAAATAACTATATACACTACTAAGGAAAAAAGTCTTCCTGAGAAATTAACTAAGCTCAAATCACTTAATGAAGCCTATGAAGTTCCATGAAGAGAAACCATCTAACATCATGAAGTACTCCCAAACGGAATTCAGGATCTTGAGGAGTTACAAGTTAATTCGAGACAAGATGCTTGGTTTCAGATCTGAACTCTGGCAATAAGCCCAGACCTATACTGTCTTTGGGAAAAAGCATTACGTTCTACTGGTGATGTTATGCTTTAGGAAGTCACCTTATACTTATGTCTTTCTTAATTATTTCAAAATATACTCATGCAAATGAAAATTTTCTAGTATATTTTAAAAATGATACTAAAATCTAAAACTCATGGTAATTTACTTTTTATAAGTTTCTTTTTGAGACCCAAAAGTGACTATGATAAGAAAAAAGGTATGAAATTATATTAAATGCCATGTAACAAGGGAGATGAATACCTACATTCTAAATAAATTAACAGTCACTTCATTATTATATGTAATTCCAAGTACCTCAGCTAAAATGAATCCAGCATTGTTTTCAAGAATAATATACTCCACTGGTCTTCTGAAACTGAAACTGAGTTAATTTCCTTATTTCTGAGATAAACTTTAAGTTTAGGATATAAACTCATGTGTTATGTGTGGTATGAAAAAAGGAATTACAATCTTGGATATATAAATACATATGAACCATCAGATAAGAGAATGTTTTCTGAAAAGATTCTAAGCAAGTGTGATAAACTGTACATAAATCACTCTCATATATTTCCAAAAACATTATAAATTTTATAAAAATATTCCTTCAAGGTGTGGTGGCATATGCCTATAATCCCAGTTACTTTGTAGCCTGCAGCAGGAAGATCTCAAGTTGGAAAGCACCTCAGCAAGACCCTGTTTCAAAATTAAAAATAAAAAAGGGCTGAGGTGGGGCTGGAGTTGTAACTCAGTGGAAGAGCATTTGCCTAGCATGTGTGAGGCACTGGGTTCAATTCTCAGCACTACATATAAATAAATAAAGGTCCATCAACAACTAAAAAGAAACAAACAAACAAACAAAAAGGCTGAGGAATAGCTCAGTGATAAAGCACCCTGGGTTTAATGTACAGTACTGCAAAGAAAAAAAAAATCCTAAAGTCATTTTTACAAATTACATATCATATCATAGCTTCCTTATATTATAATTATATTCCTCTTTTCTTTTTGTACTTTATACCACTGAGCTGCATTCCTAGCCCTTTTTATTTTTTTGAGACAGGGCCTCACTGAGTGCTAAGGGCTTTGCTAAATTGTTGAGACTGGCCTCAAAGTTGTGATCCTCCTGCCTCAGTCCCCCAAGTCACTGGGATTGCGGGCATGTGCCACTGCACTGGGGAGATTCCATTATTAATACATATTCATAACTTGAGGAAAACCATAGTCAAGAAGGATAATGGATAGGACTTCAGGATTTTAACAACGTGCACAGCACAGCCTATAAACATGCAGCCTACACTCTCAAATGAAGTCTGGGAAAGCGAACCTGCAAAAACATCATCTACAAGGTAAAAATAGAAAACCCAGGTTCAACAGTTGAATACAGAAAAGAGAAAGGTAATTCTAAGTGTAGCTAAAAATAACTTCCTTAACCATAGAGAGCACAAAGACATAAAAGCAATTCCTGTACTTGAGATATGCTACTAATGGACTTAATAAATGATCTGTCAGTAATTAATGTCTTTAATTTCACAATTCACAAACATTTCATTAAGGCATCATTTCATTTTTAAAAAAATTTTCTTCCTTCTCCCACCCGCCGAGTACTAGGGATTGAAAAACCAAGGGTGCTCTATTGCTGAGCTATATCCCTGGTCCTTTTTTATTTTGAGATAGAATCTCACTAAGTTGCTGAGGTTGGCCTCAAACTTCTGATCCTCCTGCCTCAGCCTCCCTAGTTGCTGGGACTACAGGTGTGTGCCCCACACCCAGCTCCATTTAAGGTAATATTTCAATCATTTTCTTCTTCTGTTCTCTTGTTGTTTCATATATACTTTCCTACAGATTTAGAAAATCACTTCAATGTTTCCATTTCTTTCATATTTTTGTAGATTTATTAATGCCTAGTACTAATGCCTGTGTACTCATGGGTACATCAGTCTCATTATTTAGTAGTTCACATAGAGCAACCTCATTTTTCAGTTTTCTCATGCTGAGAACTAGCCACATAGCAAGAAAACAATTAACTGTAAACCTAAATACCACTTTCATTTTAACTTAGAAATTATCCTTTCCAAGACTGTAGTGCTATTATGATAACAACAGCTTTGGGAAACTCGACATTTTTACCAAATAGCTTTTCTTAGGAATGAAAGGTATATGAGTACAAAATAGCTATATCTCACTTATGTTTGTAGACAAGAATTTATTTGGAAGAGATATAGGTGGTTCCTAATATAGCCAAGAATTAACTTATAGAAATATTCCTTGCTTATTAAAAAATTAAATTTTAACTATTCAAATTTTATTGGGTCATTAAAATTCTACTACAGACATCTTTTTTTAAAGACATCTTTATATACTACTTTCTAATTGTTGAAAATTATGAGTATAAACACTTATCATTTTTATGGTACATAAACAAACTCTGATTTTATGTACCAAATTATATTTCTATTTTTTAAAAAAACAGTACATAGTTGATAACATGTGAGTAGAGAGGCCATACATGATGTCTCTCATTCTTTGATTCCTATTGCTTACTCTAAATGCATTTGCTAGTTATTTATGATCAAGATATTGTTATATTGTACCTAGATGGATGGACAGGGGAAGGGGAAAAGCAGGAAAGAACAGGGAAGGCAGAAATCTCTGCTATAAAGGTGGGTAAAACTGGGCTTGGGTTGTGGCTCAGTTATACAGTACTTGCCTTGCACTGGGTTTGATCCTCAGCACCACATAAAAATAAATAAAATAAAGGTATTGTGTCCATCTACAAATAAAAATATTTTTTAATAAGGTGGCTAAAACTGCCCATAGCATAATTTGGTCAACTTTATTTCCAATGAATCCCACTTTTATGTATAATTATAATGCAACAATTAAAATAAACACATATACAAATATATGTATATACGGGAGAGCAGTAGAGTAAACGAAGTAGTCAGGGAGAGGGAGGAAGAAAGGGGAAATACTGGGGACTAAAATGGAGGAAATAATGTTATATGAATATATGAATATGTCACAATAAACCCCATTATTATGCATAATTACAATTCACTAATAAATTTTTTTTTTAAGTTGGGTAAAATTTAAAAACCTAAAGCCTCAAGATCTAAGCAAACAAGAAAGAAAAACTGCTTTTTCCCTTCCCTTGTCTTTAAGGGGATTTGTAACTACAAATATTTTGTAGGTATACTAAAAATCATAAGTCACAACTCAGGTTAGGCTGGATTTCAGCTCCAACTTGTTCCCTTGGCTAGTCCCCTTTATGCCATGAAAAACCTGCACAACTATACCAAGTAGTCCTTTGATCGTATCAAGAAAAAGTCCTGGGAAAGAGAAAGACCAACCACAGTAACCTCTGCTTGGAGAATTAGGAAGGCATTTTATTTCTCTATTTTGAGCATAAAAGTTTCTTATTAGATAGTCAATTCTAGAACTTAACACAAACAAATATCACTGCCTATGCCCATTTGCCAAATTAAGGCCTCTACCACAGAATATGAGTTGATCAACTGTCAGTCTTTTCTTAATAGCACCTGAGTGGATAACAAATAACAACAGAACAAATCTCTTACCGCTGTAAGGGGTCCTTCTGCTTGTGCCTCCATTGGACTTGTGGGTGTTGCTGCAATAAACTGACTAGCAGCTCCAACCGGGAGTTCCAGTCTATCTGTGTATTGTTCTGAAACAGCAGAGGCAGGGCACTCTGCAGAAAACGCCAAGACCACACCTGAGGTTTCCTTCTTTAAATGATTGTTTTCTGCCCAAGGGCCCATTTGGAGCTTTTCATCTTGAGGTGATTCCTCCAAGACCTGAAGCACTTCAGGCTCCTCATCAGAAGGGCTTCCAGTTGTTTTATGTCCTAAAGCCTCATTTGTTCTGAAATCCTGAAGGTCTTGTTCCTTGTCTACAATCACCCATTCTTTGGAATCGACCTCCTGCTTGCAAGAACTCAAGTTAACAGCTATAAATCCATTGCTGCCACCACCATCTGCCTGCTCAGGAGTGTTGGCAGAGGCAGGTTTGGAGGCATCTGGAAGATATTCTTCATCATAGTGCCAGACGTGGTCATTACGGGATACAACAGGGACACAAGGCTTATGAAGCAGAGCAGGGAGAACAGATTCCTTTGAGTCTTTCTGCATTTTCTCCAAGCTTAAAGAAATGGAAAGAAGTTAATTATTCTAGAGAAACTTTTATTACAAAACTTATCTCTATACAGAGAACTATTCACACAAAGATGAGAGGAAAATATATGGATTATAGCATAAGGAAAGTTTCACAGGGTTGATAATGTTCTTCTCTACCTGCCATAATCCTGCTTTGGAAGATGGAGTTCCTTTTCTCAGCATGGCACACTTTTTAGTTTCTTCCTTTTATTAGACTTTACCAAACTAAGCTTTTATCCTTATTGCACTTTTGAATTTACTTTCCATTTCAGCCACAATTCAAACTGTTTACAACACTGCCCCAACTCTTGTCCATCTTTTTGATCGAATCAAGATAAAAACACATGCTTACATCATACTAGCCACAAGATGGAATGACTGCCATGTGAGCAGTAACAGCACATAGATACTGTTGGACTGCAGCACAGGAGGACTGTTTAAAATGGAAACTGGACAAGGCCAACAGTGGAGAAACTGCCTTGGGACACAGTATCTATCATGCTAGTAATATCCATGGTCCTTCTAACCTAATATTTCATTGTTAATAGGAACCATAAAAGATATACCATTGAAGGGGTATAACTACTATTAAAGGTATGTAAGTTTTAATACTAGTGAAGCCTCCATAATTCATAAGTATATCCCAAACTCTTCTTTTAAAAGTTTCATTTCTGGGCTGGGGATGTGGCTCAAGCAGTAGCGCGCTCGCCTGGCATGCGTGCGACCCGGGTTCGATCCTCAGCACCACATACAAACAAAGATGTTGTGTTCGCCAAAAACTAAAAAATAAATATTAAAAAATTCTCTCTCTCTCTCTCTCGCTCTCTCTCTCCTCTCTTTAAAAAAATAAATAAATAAAAGTTTCATTTCTGCCTTTTTTATCAAAACTTGTTGTAGGGATAACATGCCTACAACATATTACATTATTACCATATTTATGGATAGCTCTTTAAAGTTTAACCTTCCCTTCTCTTTAGGTAGATTGTGGGTGCTAGAAGGAAAGAATGATAAATATATATTTTCTTACTACACCTTACACAGAGAAGGCATTAACTAAATCAAAATGCCTGTCCTCTGAATATAAATTACTTTTTTCCCTTCTTCATGTATTCACTCCTCTCATTCCTTTCAAATGTCATCTTTATCATACTCTCTCCAGCTCTATACTGCTGTTTGGAAGATCACCTTCCAAACTGGTCAATGCAAAAATATCCATTTGACTGTACCTAGTGTTATGATGTTAGCAGTTACCACAGCCAAGGGTTTTTCTACAGAATTTATAATGATATTGGAAGAAAATTCACATTAAGAATCAAGATGATCAACAGCTAAATTAAGGACCAACTTAGGTGCCCTTCAACAGATGAATGGATAAAGAAAATGTGGTATATATACACAATAGAATATTACTCAGCCATAAAAGAAGAATGAAATTATGGGGTTTTTCAGTAAGTGGATGGAACTGGAGACTATTATCACGTTAAGGGAAATAAGCCAATCCCAAAATACCAAAGGCTGAATGAATGTTTTCTATGATATCGTGGATGGATGTTAATTCATAATAAGGAAGGGGGATGGTTAGGGAAGAATAGAAGTATTTTGGATTAGACAAAGGGGAACGAAGGGAAGGGAGGGGGAATAGGAATAGGAAAGATAGTAGAATGAATCAGACATAACTTTCCTATGTGCATATATGATTACACAACCAATGTAATTTAATATATCATGTACAACCAGAAGAATGAGAAGTTACACTCCATATATGTATAATATGTCAAAATACATTCTACTATCATGTATAACTAATAAGAATAAAAAAAATAAGGATAATAACTAAAATATGAATGAAAAATGAGAGATTAATGAAGTTGGTGTTACCAAAATGCAAGAATTTCTTATTTGAAAGACTTTAAATAATAAATAACAATAATGATGATGATGATACCTTAGATACTTTAAAAAGTAAGAAAAACTATTTTATACCAGGCCTCGAGAAATTTGTCAGTATCTGGCTTTGGTTCCAGTGTCAGACGTTTTTCCAGCTCAAAGCTGTGGATGGAACGTAATTTTCGCACCAATGGAACATCCCTATCTGGCTGAGTAATCTCTGAGCGGACTCGAATTGGTGAACCAAGACTTGGAGCATTGAGAATACCATTGGCTTGACCATGGCTGTTCTCCTCTTCAGTAGCAGCCTAGAAAAATAGAATGATGAAATATATTCCAGGTATTATAACATGAGAGAAATCACTGAAGCCTTTCAAAATAATAGTAATAAATGGTTAGATTTATCTCATTATGAGTTTTCTTAAATTATATTCAGTTTCAGTATTATTTTAGTTTATACTCTGGGTACAAAGATGAACAGTCTAAAACTGTTTAATAACTTTGTCTTTTTGTATTACATATGACTAGATGCTTTTAGGACCCCAGTCCACTAAAGTAAAACTAAAACCTGAAAAGAATGTTCTCTTTGAGACATAACTGGCCATATAGTTAGAAAAGCTCACTAAATATATGTCCCCCATCCCCTTACTCATTCCCCCTCTCAAAAACAACTACTGGGCTAGGGACATAGTTCAGTTGGTGGAGTGCTTGCCTTGTACACACAAGGCCCTGGGTTCAATCCCCAGCACCATCAAAAAAAAAAAAAAAATCTATAAGACAACCTGGGGCTAGAACAAATAAGCAACTAGGGCAAAGCAGAAGAGGCCAAGCATGAATTAGCACAGAGGGACACATTGTCTAAAGCCAAATGCCTACAGCAGCACAATTACCAGGGAAATCAAGCCTCACACCAGGGATACTGTAAGTGAGGGACATCTGAGACATGTATTCTGATTAGAGACCATGAAAAAGTGCCCTACACTCTTGATTATCAGCAGCAGAAGCCAACCTTCTCTGAAGGAAGGTTCCCCAACCCAAATTTGGGACTGTAGGGTTCCCATCAATTATTTAATGAGCAGCAAATTAAAAGTAGTCAGAAAAAGTATGCCACCATGCCTAAGTCAGCAGAAACAATTAGGCAACACAACATTTAAACTCACAAAGATGTTAGATATCAAACTTGTTTGTTAAGACACAATATATAGAAGAGCCATGAACAAATGTTTGAACAAATAAAGGTAATTTCATAAAAATCAATAAAGAAATTAAATGATTACTTCACTCCCTCCTCACCACAAGAAAGAAAGAGTTGGAGTTACTAATTAGTGAACTGGAAAACACAAAAGAAATTATCAAGAATGAAGCACAGCATGATTAGGAAAAGAAAAATAAGGAAAAAATATATACAAGATACAAAAAATATGTTTAATTGGAGTCCTCAGAGAGAACCAATGAAGAGCTAGCAATATTTAGTAGAGGATAGTTGACTGTATATTTCCCAGAACTGATATAAAATATGAGTCAAAATATTCAAGAAACAATCTTGCTTGTTTTCCCAAGCAAGACAACACATGACTAGACACATTATAGTTAAAATGCAGATCATCACAAAGAGCTAAAAAGTAGCTGCAAAGGAAAAATATGGGTGGGGGAGTTGAGGGAGAATTGATTACCTATAGGGAAACAAACAAATAGAATGACAGCTGACTTTTAAATATCAACAACTAAAGCAAGAGAAAAATTAACTATCAATCAAAAACATTGTATCCAGCCTATACTATTTTGAAAAAAATAAAACAAAAACAAATACTTTTCTTTTTTGGTAGTACTAGGGATTAAACGAGCCTCCCAAGATGCTGAGATTACAAAAATATACAACCACACCCAGTCTGGTTACTTTTTAAAATACCTTTACCTTTTCCATAAAATATCTATGAGTTTTATGGGACAAATTAACCAAAATGCTGCAATTACAAATATTTAAAAAATAAAAAAACTACATTCTGTCTACTTCTCATTCAAAATTGAGAATCATGATACTTTGGTGCAACAATAGGAAATAAATAATGAGTACTTAGAAAGATATTACTTCCTATGCAAGAAACACACACCTTACAAATTCCAAGTTTTATCTTATTTTTGTTGGCATCCATCTCTTCCCAGACATCCTTTTCCTGGGGACGAGGGTGTCCCAAAGATCCAGGCAACTTATCTGGTGACACACCAACAGGAATGCCATTCTCCCCATCACTAAGCTGTTCATCTGGAAACACCTCATCCGTATTTTCTCGAAGCAAGTCTCCTGGGATGGGAGTGGCATTTGCAATTCTAAAAGCAAGGGGAGAAAAAAATCGTAGAACTTTAAAAGACCAGAATAAAAAATTACTATGAGTCTATCTTTTATCTTATTTCTAGATTTAAATGATCAAATCCATATATCATTAAGAAAGTTAGAAAAAAACTTGAAAATTCAGGTCATGTCAACTGTACAAAATAAATTTCTAAATTATGAGAATTCAAAAATTTCAACCTGTTTTTAAGTGCAAATTCTAATACACTAATTTACCAATTATTTTAAGAAACATTTGGACTATTTTCCAAGAAGTCTTCATCAATTATAATAAGATTTTCTATTCTTTACCCATTTTCTTAGAGAATTAAAACAATTACAAATAGGGAAATATTAAGGGTAGTAAGGAAATAAATAGGGGTTAAACTTATGTTATTTTTTATAGAATGAAATGTGCACTGCTTTTTCATTTACAGACTTTGTACTAAGCACCACTACAGGCAAGGTCCTACAATACAAAGATGAGGGAAAAAAAATCTTTGTCCTATAGAAGAAACTGAAATTATGCAATTGTATAGTTCAGTTTTGCATAGGAAAAATAGAAAATATTAATTGGTATTTTCTATATATTCCTTTCAAAGTAATTCCGTGTCAACTGACCCTGAGACTCCTGGTCCACAAGAGGTTTTGTAGTTCTTAATTATTAGTCATTAAGTAAAAAGGCCTCTGCCAGCTCTACTGTTCTATAATTATAAATACTGATTTGGTTTTTTAAAAATATTGCTGACTGAACACAGTATTTAACACACAAAAGAAAGCTTTTCTTACAAGTGATCTAGAATATCTAAGTGTAGGAAAATATAGTGTTTAATAGATTATACTAACAGGTATAATCATTGTGAGCAGCAAAATAAGCATCCTCTCAGAAAATCACTTTAAGGGTAACAGTTATATACTCTGTCTTGGTGACAAGTACTTCTTATACTCATGGGAAGACCAGTGATTTTTCAAGGACATGCTCCTTCTGACTTGATGACCTTCATTCCTACTCTTGTCTAACACACAGTCTGTGCTTACAGGCAACATGTAACAGAAGCAGATTAAGGGGAAAAGACAAACCAAAAACAAAACAAAATAAAAACAAAAGGAGCTGGGTGCGATGATGCACACCTGTAATCCCAGTGGCTCAGGAAGCTGAGACAGGAGCATCTCGAGTTCAAAGCCAGCCTCTGTAATAGACGAGGTGCTAAGCAACTCAGTGAGAGCCTGTCTCTAAATAAAATAAAAATAGGTCTGAGGATGCGTCTCAGTGGACTGCCCTGGGTTCAATCCAGGGTACTCCAAAAAAAAAAAAAAAAAAAAAAAAGACAAAAAAAAAGGAACTTCATTTAATACATGTAGAGGAAAAAGCATTCAAAGCAAACATCGAGAACATGGAAATACACCATAATCTGTTCCTAATATACTATGTGAATTAAATTACTTTCAAAAGGGGAACATACTGCATGTTTTGTTCCCACTAAATGTAAGCCCAATATAGTTAGATATAATTGTGCCTCATTCTTTCCAGGATGCCATATATTCTTTAGAAACATAATGAATGCCCCCCGGCTCATTTTGAAGAAAATCCACTGTAAATTTGGCTTCAATAAGTCACATACTCTCTAAGCTCCCATTTCAGAGTATGATCTACCAGTATTTTCTAAGGTAAGTAATTCCAAAGGCAAATATTCCATGAGTCAAAGAGGAAATTGTTTAAAATTACATTGAACTCTGGCTTGGGATGTAGCTCACTGATCAAGTGCAAAAAAATTAAAAATTACCTCAAACTCAGTGAAAGTCAAATTACAATATATCAAAATATGTGGGGTATACCTAAAGCAGTCTGAAAGGGAAATTCATAGCACTAAATGCTCATATTATAAAAGATACAATATTTTAAATCAATCTAAATTCTACCTCAAGACACTAGAAGAAGAAGAGTAAAATGAACCTAAGACCAGCAGAAGGAACAAAACAGCTCCTATTGCATCAGAAATTTTTCGGTATGTTGTATTGTCATTCTCTTTCTGAAATATTTTTTTCATGTTTTTTTTTTTTTCACTCTTGAGTTAAAGGCATATAAGTTTAGAATCCTTACATCTTCCCAGTGAATAGAGGTTTTTTTTTTCTGTTAATATTAAAGCCTATTTTTGTCAGCTATTAATACAGTTATGCCAAGTTTTGTGTATTACGTGTATTTGCATTTTTTCATTCTTAATCTTTTCCTGTCATTATTCTTGTATTTTAACATTTTTGTGGTGCTAGGGATTGAACCCATTGTCTTATATATGCTAATCAAGGGCTTTACCCGTGAGCTACACCCCCCAGTCCTGTTGTGATAAAAGCAAGGTTAATTCAAGGAAACCCATAGGTTTTCCCCTATGTCTTAGCATTTGATCATTTGAAGAAATCTGGATAAAACTAAAGGAAATTTCTGTGACTACAATGCATCCAGAAAAGATACCACTAAACAGAACATTTAGGACATACCCAATTGCAGCAGGAGTCAGTCGGGTGTGCAACTGAGGGGTGGTAGAAGTGGTGGTGGTGGTTAGGGAGCCATCAGTTCCAGATTTCTCCCAGTCAAAAGGGTCACTCTCAATTACTCCAAAGGTCTTGATGCTATTTTCAAACACGGATGTAAGAAGCTAAGTCACAAAGAAAAACCGAGAGTAAGCCAACAGTAAACATACTCACTTTTTTCTATAAGAGAGAACACCTCACACTCCTAAAAAAGATTTCATAGTGTGATTTTCTTCAAAATTGATAGTTCAAAAAGGGATATCTGAATAAGGACTATATGTTGATGAGGATATGGATTCAGTGTTGATTCTTCTCAATTGTGGTTAGTGGTTACAGTTATTTTTCATTTTACTTCTGATTAATTAGTTTCACTTTCTTTCAACCCAGACTAAGCCTCAACAAGCCAATACATGTCTGATCTTGTTCATCACTGCTAAATCCAGGGTCTAACATATTGACTTAACACATAAACGTTACTCTAAAAACATTCTGAGAATAAATTTCATTTGGAATAATATTTACTAGAAGATTCACATAACTTACCTTTCATTTAAGTCTCAAAAAGAAAAAATGTGGAAAAAGAAAGAAACATATTAAGAGGAACTGGAGGTGCTGTGGCTCAAGGGAAGAAAGTAAGGGAAGCTGAGACCCAGAGTTTGGGAACTGAAGTGCCAGACATTATTAGAGTTCCCCTCTCCTGATGAAATCAAGATTCTCAAGGGTTCTCACAGACAACATGTTGTGTGAGCATGTGGACTACTACTATTAAAATCTCTGTATTGTGCTACAATAGGGAAAATCAAAAATAGTTTTTATGTCAGATGTCCTTTTATTATGGAAGTATTTATTTTCTTAAACTTATCACAGTATTGAATGTCTTAGAAAATGACACTGGGCCTTAAATCAGAAACAGTTTGTCACTATGATGGTGATAGAGGAGACCAGCAACAGGAGGCAAAAAGATGGAGGGCACCAAACAAAGAGGAGGAAAACTTAAAGCACTGAGGCACCTAATGGAACCCAGCCAAAACAAATAGCTCTGCAGATACTTTTAAGAGGAAAAAAAATTACTAACCTAGCAAAATAATTTTCTAATTAAGGACCAGAGTAGCTCTAAATCCTAATCTCCATCATTGAGATAATAGAAACAGTACAATTCAAGGACTCAGTTTTTTTTTTGACAAAAATTTTATCTAAAATATAATAAAACCAGAAAACTTCAACTCAGTTACTTGTTCAGATTTGAATCACTTTATAAAATTATTCATAAATTATAGTAGTGTGAACGTGTGTGTGTGTGTGTAAACTTGAATGATCCTCACATCTTTAAATTATTTTTTAGTTGTCAATGGAACTTTATTTTATTTATTTATATGCAGTGCTGAGAATCGAACACAGTGTCTCACACATGCTAGGCAAATGCTCTACCACTGAGCCCCAACCCCCGCCCATGATCCTCACATTTTTCTACTCTGATACTACTGGGGAATAAAACGCTTTCCCATCAGAACCCTAGGGGCTGACTGTGGCAGTAATTTTCAAACTGGAATGGAGGCAGGGCAAAATCTGAAAAAAACTTCCAGATGAGGGCTGGGGTTGTGGCTCAGGGGTAGAGTGCTCACCTAGCATGCATGAGGCACTGTACTGGGTTCAATCCTCAGTACCACATAAATATAAAATAAAGATATTGTATCCACCTAAAACTAAAAAATAAATATTTAAAAAGACCTCAAAAACTTCCAGATGACTCTGACACCTCCCTCTAGGAAGGCATGTCCCATATCTCTCAACTGATAATCACTGGAATCTAGGATCAAATCCAGGACCTCATAATTGCTATGACTGCTATACACATGCTCTACCACTGAGCTACACTTCTAGCCCTGTTTCTTTTATTTAAAAATATATGCTTGGAAAACACAAATTCATCTTATTTACAGCCCAGGTTTCTCAAACTAGAGTAATATGTTCCCCTAGGAGATACAGTTATATGCCAGAGAGCTTAAAGTCACCTGATAAATGTGGCACAGCTTCTTGGAGCATTTTATTCAGAGGTAGGTATTACATTTATTATAATATTTTATTTATTTTTATGTTTTTATTTTTTGTAGTAGAAATTTAACCCAGTGTACTTTACCATTGAGCTACATACCCAGCCCTTTTTATTTTGAGACAGGGTCTCACTAAGTTACTTTGGGCTTTGCTAAGTTGCTGAGGCTAGCCTTGAACTTGTGATCCTCCTGTTTCAGTCTTCCAAGTTGCTAGGTTACAGGTATGTGCCACTGTGCCTGGCTATAATATTTTATAATAGAAAGAACTGAAAGAAATTAGGAAAGCAAAATTTACATGAACCTTCAAGATAAATTAGGAGAATGCAAAGAAAGTCTGGATTTGTGACTGATACTTTAATATTACTCCCAGACCTCTTGAGAAACATGCTTATATTTTGATGCAAAAGGAGTAATGGGTGAAACAGTATGAGAAACACTAGAGGCATACCATCATTAGGAGAACAAATCTCTGAATAGAAGTAGGAGGGGGGCCATTGACTAGAAGGGAAGCTGAGGAGCCTTGAGGAAGATATGGATGGGCAAAGATGCAATGTTATATTTTATTCAGTACCATTGTCGACTATTTATGTCCATCTTCCTTCTACTTACACTTAAGAATATGAGGTAGTTCATTTTTCTTAAGCTAACTTACAATGGGAAATACAAGAAAATAACTTTTCTAAAGCAAATTATTCAATACATGGAAAAGATAACAAAAATCAAGTACTATGAGTAATGAGATTCCATAAATTTAATTTTCAACTTTTCTACAACTTCTAAACTTTTGTAAAGAGTATGTATTATTTTTAGTGATTAGAAAAAATTTAAGTAACAAAAACGTATTATTTAGAATAACATATACCTAACCAGGTATAGCCCACAAGGATGCTTGATGCTAACTCCCACCATCTGGAATAATCTTATTCATTACAGCAGTCAGTCATCTGACATAGGTACAATGCCTTAGGGAAGCAGTCCTCTTATTCTTAGTACAAAATGCAATCAATAGTTGTATCATATTTACCTCCATATGGAATCCCAGTTTTCCCTTTCAAAGAGAATAAAGATAAGGTCTAGCCTTTACAAAAACAAGAATTATTTGTAATGTGATCATAAGAACTTCAATGAGAATCCTAATTCTCCAATTTTTCAGTTAAAGAATGGTAAAATAAAGAATCAATAACAACGAAGCACAATGAATGCTGGCTTGGCTAATTCAAAGACATATTTACTGCAAAATAAACTGCCTCACTTCAGTGATAATTAGATGCACAACAGAGGGACAGAAAGGTACATTTTTTAACTTCTCTGCACCTCTGAGGTGCAACACTGGTAGAAAAAAATATTGCACTGTGCTCATCCTGTGGAGAAAAGAACCAGCAAATAATGGAAACCTAATAAAGAGAATGAATTAAAGAGGCTGCAGAGCCTTGCTGTTTTCACTATTCCTTTCAAGATGCTAGAGCATCTCAGAAGTGACCCCCTGGTTGGCCATCTTCCCTTTGAGGCACTAAGTCAGCCCAGAGTAAACTGCCTGGCAATATACCACAGCTTCTCAACGCCTCTAAATGAGGCCAGTTTTCTTATTGCCTTAGAAGGGCAAAGCAGCATAAAGGACATAAAGAAATGTTCTATTTACACTGAAGGAATAGAGCACAAAAATGAAGAGAAACGTAATTATAAGCAAAAGCAGTATCACTAAAGTACCTGTAAAACCATTTATATGTACAATGATGTTTTACAATGTAAAAATCATTCTCATAGATATTTCATTAAAATCTTTTAAAAACACCATGAAATAGATATTTTCATCATTTCACAGACTGTAAAACTTGAGAGTTAGAAAGGTCATACAAATGATGTGTTTGACACAGTATCAATTTAAACAGGTCTTTTAAGTGTGTGTTACTTCCACAATAGGGTGTTACAAGCAGCCAGCAGGCAAGGCAAAACCAGCTTATTGTTGAAATTATCCCTGAGAGCCCCTTAAAATGCCCATATAATACAGAAAACTACCATCTTTCAATAGGTGAAATCAGTTAGTTTTTCTCCCCACACTGGAATAGACATCCATGTCTTTAGAGAACGTGAATGAAAGCTTTCTGCATTTAGTGGACATACTGTACACAAAAAAATACTTTTTTTTTTTTTTTAAGGCATGGTGAGGTACAGCATTACTGAGAGACTAGGGAGGCTGAGGCAGTAGGATCACAAGTTGTTAGAGGTCAGCCTTGACAACTTAACAAGACCCTCAGCGACTTAAGAGAGAGAGAGAGATAAAAAAGTATTGTTCTTTCAAACTCCAGACTCACACTCAGCACAGCCTGATAAGAAAAAGACTGAGAGAATAGCAGACTCATGAGAGCACTGAAGCATTACCCTCACCATAGGTTATGGCTAACTTGAGCCAAAGGGCAGGCAGAAACATAGACATTAAAAATTTTATATCTCCTGAAAATATAGTTGAATTCAACTGAGTCAAGTAAACATGGATGTTCTGTGTTTCAATTGTATACTATAGCTATCTCAAATATCCATTCATTGATTCAGACATATACTGAATGCCTACTGTCCTCAGTCCCAGGAATACAAATATTAACAGTCCTGCCTTTATGAGTTTACATATACCAGATTCAGTAATCAAATTAAGCACATTTACTTCAATCTGGCTACTTTTATTAAATGTTATTATTCTAACTTCTTGTTGTGCTTTTTTTTTTTTTTTCTTTTTCTTTTTCCTATTGTGTTCGAACTTCTTGAGGAAACTTAGAGATAAATATCTCAGGCTCTCAAGATGCTTATCTAGTAAGGAGACAAAATAAAATATTGCTTTAAGAGTTGAGGGAATTTAAGGAGGGAATCAGGAGAGCTTCCCTGACTACCCTGTTTCATGGGAGGTTCCCCCTTGTAACTTAACCTCTTATTTGTTTGCTTCCCAAGCAGCCCATTTATGCCCTCTGAAAATTTTGCCCTAAAATTTGTTATGAGTCAAGACATCTTACAACTGTTATCCCCCAAAAGAGGAGGGAAATTACTACATTCTGATGTAATCTCTATTTAAATAGTCCCATTCC